CTCCAAGCGCTCCCTTTTACGATCCTCGAGCCTCGAGATGAGGGACAGTGCCTCCGCTTCACAAAGGTAAGGACATGCTCCGTGAGTAGCCAACGGAATCTCCTCGCCCTCGAAGTTTCTCAAGAGGCACCTATCTGGACCCCATTCCAAAGTGTAGCCCAGAGTTCGCACCAACTCGCCCATGGAGACTATGGTGTTCCCGGCCTCAACATCAGCCGAGGAAGATCCCCTTGTCGTCCTCGGTGGCATCAAAAGGGTGCCTCCACTCGACAACCTCATTGTGAGCTGGTTCTTCCCAGCTAGCTGCACCACCACGTCCTCTGCGCCGTTCCATTCATCCAGGTGGTAAGCATTGCGAAGGCTGTGAGTGGCCCCTGAGTCCAAAAGCGCTGAAGACGGTCGCCCCAAGGAGGAGATCTTGATATCTTTAACCACCAAAGTCCTCACCTCCGGCTTAACCTTCTCTGGACTACGATCTTCACGATTCTCGCTTCCCTGAGACTGAACGACCTGCTGAGCCGCTTGCATAAGTGCTTCCAGGGTCCATGGGGTTCCAGCCACCGTTGCCGTAGAGCTCAACATTGTGGAAGCCGGTGTGGTACACGGTGTCATAGTAGAGACGGTGGGAGTCTCCGCCTCCGTAGGTCGCTGCCCTTTTCCCGTAGGTGAACCCGCCGTAGAGGTACTTCTCGGTCCTCCTTTAAGAGGGCAGTCCTTCTGTCTATGGCTCTCGGCCCCACATTGGAGACACTTACGATTCCGGGTCTCCCGGTCAAGAGAGGCCATTGAGTGCGAGTAGGTGCACCGCGACCCCCTTTTGCATCCTGAAGGCTTGAGGAAGTAGCGACATAAGTCAGTGGTAGCCCCGCCCTTGTCCTTGGCACTCTTTGGCGACGTCACCTTCTCAATGGCCCTGACACCAGGTTGTCCCTGAGCACCTGAGCTTGCTGCGGTAGCCATTGTTTCTAGCTCGGCTTGTAGGTGTCGTTGATACGCAGCTACTTGTTCTATGGAGGGTTGCGCGTCCAACCTCAACGAAGTCCTCAGCATGCTTGTCCGGAACGCAGCGTCAGGCGAGCCATTGATGTGCTTGGCGGACATTGCCATCAGGCCGCGCGCCAGAACGGAAGCGTCTGGCGGATTCATGTTGACCGCCTTGCATCTGGCCAGCCATCGTGGCCATGATCGGATCGCCTTCAAGGTGTCCTCCAGGCTCTCGGTGGCGGCGAAGTCCTGTGGCGCCTGCAGTCTTCTTAGAACATCGTGTCGCTCTGCAGACCCTCCCGGTTGGAAAGTAGTGTGGAGCCTGAAAACCATGCAAACCGCATCCTGTGTCAGTCGCTGGGCAACCATATCTGAACGAAGCCCTTCCCCCATTGCTGTAAGGAGCATTGACGAGACCCTGGCATTCAGTCTTGTCCACCTTCCACCAACAAGCTCGTCTGAACCCGCCGGTGTTATACTCAATCTCTCCAGCGGTGTCGCCGCCAGCCATTTTGCATACGTCCCTTCAACTTTTGCAACAACTTCTTTCCACCACTGACCGCTCAGCTCCGAAACATCCGAAAGGACCGAACCCGCAACTTCCATCCAATCTTGAAACTGAAGTGCAGCGTCACATCCTCCACGGGGATCTGGTAGCGGAGCCAATGACAAAGTTCCCGGTTTGACCTGTTCATGAGATTGCATCGGGGTTCCCCTTGCCATTGCTTGAGCTTGTAGTTCTTGAAGTTGCTGTATACTTTTGGTAAGCGCATCTATGACTGGTGACCCAGGAGGTTGCTGAGGAGGCTGAGGCGGAGGAGGTGAGGTGCTTCTTCCACGATTGCCTAGCCACCCTCTTAGAAACCCATCTGCTGGTTGCTGCACAGGAGGTACTGGAGGTTGAGGTGCCGCTGGTGTAGTCATAGACCCCATCGAAGTCGTAGGATCTCCTTCTAGTACTCCGGGGCCTGATGGAGCTGAAAGTAGATCTCCCCAAAGCCCTCTAGGACCTTCAGGTAATCCCGGACCACCAAAGATAGGTACACTCCCAGCTGGGTCTCCCATTCTGGTTACCCGAGGTGCTGGAGCAGCTGTGGCCGGAGTCATGAAGGCATCCATCAGCTCCCGAGACAAAGTTCTGTCGACTGAAGCCGCTGGCCCTTCCTCCAAGATGAGAGGAGCGGCCTCTGGCAGTGCTGGTGCACCGCGAGCTTCCGGCAACTCTGCCCTTCTCGCAAACTCTAGCTCCTGCCGTAGACGCTCGTTCTCCAGCTCTGCAACTTGAAGTCTACTAAGCATTCCCCCAAGCTGTCTTTGAACCTCCAGCTGAATCGCTTCTGCAGGTATTGACGACGAACTCGGAGTCGGAGGCCTTGGTGGCCTCTCCCTTCTCCCAGGCGACCTCAGCACGAAGCTCGGTCCTCCCGGTGGCGAAGAATGCTGTGACACCGTCCCCACCAAGGGGCTCGGTATCAAAGGGTCCCCCTGGGTTCCCAGGCTGAGGTAGGACCCAAGCCTCGACATCCAACGAGGCATCTCTACTTGATTCAACCAGGTTGGTCCTGGCGGCGCCGACAACGTAGATCTCGGCGTCATAAAACCCACCTGCGATGGCGGCTGCGTCATAGAGCCCCCACGTGCTATCCCGGAGGTCCTCGCCGGGTCTGCCTCACGAGTCGCCAGAAAAGCTTCTTGCCTGGCCCGCTCATGTCCAGATTCCCTCGTCAGATCTCCAGGGGACGTAGAGGCAACATCCCTCGACTGTCGCGTAGCAGAGGCGACCCCTTCTCTCATAGAGTTCGCTTCCTCATTGCCATGTTCGCCCACAGCCCGAGAGCCGTCTCTCGCAGTTCCAGGTTCCTGTAACACTCCGGGCGGTTGATCGCCCCGGTCTTCATTAGTCAAAGGCCCTGTCCCATTTACCAACGGCAGCGTTGGTTGGGCGCTCATAACCTGTTGAGAGCAGGATGCTCTCGCCGATCAGATTATCGAATTGGGGTGGCAACCATGTGATTCAAACGCACGGCGCCTCACTCTTTTTACTCGCGGAAACAAAGAACTGCATGTGTCTTCGAAGTGCTCGCAAAAGCTTTGCGCAAGTCTGCTTAGCGATGTGTACATTATTTGCTAAGCTGTGTCCTTGCAAGCTGAGCATATCACGACGTGACTCAAGGGGTACTTCGTAGCCCTTCCCTTAAGCCGCAGCATCGATCATTGACACAGCCATCAAGCGCTCAAGCTCTACAGCTCCTGGGCACAGACGACATGTACACTCATCTGCAGGTTTACGGTTTAGGGTGGATTTGTTTCAATTCAATGGTTGCAGCATGACGATGCAACCAGTTCTCTACGTAGGTTCGACTATCAGAACTACAACCCCTTCGGTAAATTAGGTTATTGCCATGACTTGGTCAGACTTCGTTGAAGGGAGCTCTCAAATCGATGGGGCTGACTGATCTCGAAAGTCCCCTAGCCCCAAGCCCCCCCCCCCCCCAACACCCTGATCTACTGATCTCGAAAATCCCTCAGCCGGAAGCCCCAAACCCTAAACCCCAAACCCAACACACTGGAACGCTGCTTGTTGGCAGGTGCAGCTCCCCAGTCACTTGAACCGGATGGTGCAGGCGGAGTGTACCTAAAGGATCATGGCCACTCAGTATCTTCTTGTTACAAGTAAGGTAATGGCACTTGTAATTACTTACATCTCCAATTTGGGGGGTATGATCCGCAATCCTAGGGCTGAGACATGCTGCTGGGCCTTGTTCTTTCTCAGTTTATTGCTTTAAACCGCAACCTGCAAGTATCTTGACAAGCAAGAGCACATTATTCCTCAGGTAGCAGACAAAGCCCCCAAACCCTAAACCCCTAAACAAAGTCGGTAGAGCGAATGAGGGGCTGTAAACCCTACACCTTTGGCAGATGTCTGGGGCCCACGAGTGCGAATCCCTAAACCCCACACCTTAAACCCCAGACACGCTCAACACCCTAAACCCCCTAATGCTTAACGGATTTCGGAGAGCTTCCGGATGTTTGGCCTGGGTTGTTCCTTGCCGGAACGGCTGCTACTCTGGCAGGGTTTGCGAGGCTTTCCGCTTGATGGGAATTAGAATAGGTATGATGCCTCCTCGGCAGGTGATGCCAAATTACAACCTCTGGCCCGAAAACTGGGCAGCTCAGAAGCAATTTTGAACACACCGTGAGTATAGGGTTGAGGATCTATCGAGTAGTGTGGAGGACGCTGATGGAGCTTTTCTTACACCATTTGGAGAGTCTCGTATAGAGGATCCCCTTTTTCCTGTAGGCATTTGGTGCCTCGTCTGTATGCATGGGGCTGTAGAATTGAGAACTCTGTTCGTCGGTTATGCACGCTGGTCCAACGAATCCTGATCTCCAGCCCTGAAACCCGATACCACAAGTGAACAGCAGACAGGCACGACCAAAGACAAGACCTTCATGTAGACTCCAGGCATTCGGATCCCTTGTTTCACCCGGACTATGAAACTCCCTCAGCAACCCTAAGGCACAGGCGATGTACGCTCTTCCCATCTTCGGGGTCTCCTTCCTGCGCCTCGCCACGCCTTTATATTTCCGTGACTGCTCTTGCACCAGTGTTGTATGCTGACGATGGCCAGCACTATTCACAACTGATGCTGTTGAACGTTCTTCTTGGTTCCACTCTTATATAATAAAGTCATAAGGCGACAGAGACAGCAACGCCCGTGACAGTTCCACCGCCCATAGTATCAGTTATTATCATTGTTAGCCATTGTTGTGACTAAGTCGATGGAGACGACGACGAAGACCACGACACGGCTGTACTGGTAGCACAGAAAGGGCAGGACTGCCACTGCTAGACCATAGCACGTCTTCAGATGTACTATGCAGAATCAACAACACACTCGTCTCGATGGTGCTCGTTCCTGACTGGCAAAGCAGCAGACGAGCTCTGACTGTTCAGGTGTCACTTCAACGCACTGCCGACGCATCAAGAGCTGGCACGGCCGACTCGCTATCGCATGAGAAGGGTGATCTTGGTGACGCTCACATTGACGTCGGTCTTCTGGCAGCTTCATGCTCACCCATAGACCCGGCGTGCGATGGGAAACCTTTTGGGGGTAGCACTTCGCCGGTTGCACCTCAAATCTTTGTCATAGTTGGGCAAGGATTTTGCATTTTTATGCGTACTGGAACCCAATAAGGATTAAAACTGCAAATTTTTGATACTATGCTAACTATGAACTAGAAATAAGGTGATTGTATCCAGATGTGACTTTGTATATACATACGTAACATCCGCTGCGTTGCAAGGCTTTGTAAGTTGTCCGCCGTATGAACAGGCAGTGTTCAAAGAAATGGGTATGCGCAAGTCATGCATCATGCCTGTCTTGTAACCATCGATATCACTGCCATTGGAACCCCAACTATTACCAAAACTGTTATGTACACTTGTGTATATGTACATACCGATGATGTGCCTGTATACATGCATATGTACATCCATGCATACATACTTACCTACCTACCTACCTACCTACCCACCCGCCTACCCACCTGCCCACCAACCTACCTACCCACTACCCAGCTGCCCACCTACCGTCCGACCGACCTACCTACCCGCCTGCCAGCCTGCATGCATCCAGATATTATGCTTAAGTTAACACATACGTACAAACAGCATACTGGCTTGCGGCATTTCGTCTTTCTCCTTCCTGACGAGACTCCTAAGATTTAGTTTCGGGCATTGTGCAGCTGAGATGTTTGTCTTCAGCCTGAAATGTAAGAAACTCTTAACTCAAAGCGTGCATGGCCAAAGGCGTTCCTTCTAGTATGGCGGTCAGCTGTTGCAAAGGCTCACCTCTTCTTGACATGGCTGTGGGGTCTTGGGTCTTGCTTCCGATCAGAGTCCCATGTCAAGTAGCCAAGTTGATATACCTCTTCGTGAGCATCTGCGGCTACCTCTTTGCTGGCTGCTTCACCTGCGGCAACGTCCTGCTGAACTTCCCATCTGATGATCCTATGCAGCAGTCAGTGCCTGGGGCCCTCTTGGGAGTACTTCCGCACCTGCATCCTAAACCCTTACCAGTACCTCTGAACTAGTGTTGAAGCCACTGTGGAAATACATCTGAACCTAAACTCTGAAGCCATGAACGAACAACCTTTTCAGACCGAAACCCCGAACGTGAAGTCCTAAACCGTCACGACCGTTGAACCCCTGAGCACCCGCCGCCCGGCTCGGCAAGATTCCAGGGTATTTCGGGTTTTGAGGAAGCCGGTAAGAACCAAAGAAACAATTCCGGGTGGGTCAGTATCGGCAAACTGGATCTGCTTTCCGATGGCTTCATGACTTTACTGCATCCCAACACACAGAAGCCTGTAAGAGCCCGGGAAGCCCTGCGCCCGAAACACCGGTTACTTAAAGGATCATGGGACTTAGTAACTAGGGCTATGATTAGGGTAACTAGACTTATAGCTACTTATAACCCCAATTAAGGTACTTATAACCTTACTTACTAAGTCCCCTGATCCTCCAAGTAGGGTGTCCTCAAACTTCGCAAAGCGAGTCGTGCTCGGGCTGGTGGAGGCAGTCGCTTTCGGCTTCGGGTCTTTTCCACCCATTAAAGAGGTCTGAACTAGTGTTGTTATGTCTGTGGGCTCGTCGATATTGCAATATTGCTGTCGTAATATCTGAAAATGTGTTTGTATATCATGTGTATATATATACATATGTTTATTTATACCCTGTATGTATACCCTCCAAACCACGTTCGCATTCTGAAGGTTACTATACTTCATGTTGCATACTTTTCAACACAGTTGTTCTTGCTGAGCTGGCATGTCGCCTGTCATGCTTTTGAGATCGAGGACAACCTCATCAACGTCGCGCGCGTGGCGTTGGGAATGGCATGCTCAGCTTGTTCTTGAGATTTTCCTGTCGCAGCGTCTGCAGTTTGAGGTTGTATGCTTGACTACATTTACCATGACATCTACTAAATTGCCCAGGAAAGTTGTTTAGAAAAGCTGTTTGAAGATACACAATTAGTAATTCAACACTGTGTTACCATGGTATATGTGCGTAGCGATATGTAGTTGTACAGAGCACCTCATCATCATCATCATCACCACCACTAACATCATCATCGTCATCAGCAGCACGTTTCTTTACTATTTGAGCTTCCTTGCTCAAGCCAGTGCCTGGCAGAGCTCATGGCCAGGTGTTGATGCTAAACTTCCCGCTGATCTGCCAGCCTTGTCGGAACGCGCTCTTCCGGCTCCTCAATGGCTATGGCTGCGTTAAGGCCGCGGAGGTGCCACTGACAGAGTCTTTGGATGGCGCCCGAGAGATGCTCGGCGAAATGTTGGGGCTTCGGAAGTAGCACTGGGTTGTGAGGAATGCCAAGAACCCCGAAACATCCTCATGAAATTATAAACAGTTGTAGTTATGGCTAACTAATAAGAGAAATAAACAATACTAACTAATTGTCAAACATGGTCAATAGCTACAGTAGTATTACTGAGCATCAAGGAACAGCTCTGGCTCCTTTAGCCTGGAGATCGTTTCGACTTCCACGAACGACCTCACCAGCGACTCACAGGTGGGAGTCGTTTCAAAGCGTCTCCTGTCTGGGACCCTTCTTGGCAAAAGCATCTACTGCCTGGGTCGGAATGGGTAGTAATATTCTCACCTTATAGCCCCTTTTATACATGTACCGCAAAAGCTCCATTCTGATTTTCAAAGCAGCATTTTGAGTATCATTGTGACGGTTACTCTGTTTTGATAAATATTATTTTTTGCTATGATTTTACTGTTCGTATTGCACTTATGACGATTATGAATAGCATCATGATTCATTATTATGATTATTAATATATATATATATATATATATATATATCAGTCTAATTAGAATAATTAGTATGATTAGTATGATCAGAAATTAGAATTAAAGGCTTCTCGTGCCTTAGCGAGTGCATTTCGACCCCCCAGGTGGGACGGCTTCCCCGTGTCGCCGACCCGACACCTTCCAGGCCGCACGTCGTGGGTTCAAAGTTTAGGGTTTCGTGTTTACGGTTTTCGGATTGCCACAGAGAGGTTTTCGATCCCAGTTCAAAGTGCTGCACATGTACCTGATGAGAATAGTTTGCTACACCAGGGACACCAGCGCACTTGCCCGAGTGCCCAGCTGTACTGGTATGTCGAATGCGGGGAGCTGCCTGCGTTGTTTGCTGGTTCAAGAAGTTTAGGCTGCCACCAGCATTGCTATTGTGAGTGGATGCTTCTAGCAACAGCTGTTGTCGCTCTAGGCAACGGTCTTCCTCCCCATCGCGGCCATCATCTACACCTTCGTCCCCACCGGAGGCATGCGTGCACGTCTACCTTCGCCAGGAGCAGCTGCAATCACTTCTCCAGCCGCCACCACTGGCACCATGCCTTTCATCTTTTATCGTCTCCTTGTAGTTCTCCACTTAGCGAGGAACAACCTTAATGGATATTTCTTTCACTTCCTTAGGTTATTAAATGTCTGTGAGATTGCAGCAGCCAGCAGGACACCCGAGGAGGTCGAGGTCAGAGCTCTGCAAGGACCTTGCTTTGCGTTTCCTGCCTTCCCCTGGACCGCAAGTCCCCTGCACCCCCGGGTCTGCCAGCCTGTCTGATTCTTAGTAGGGAAAGGGGGAATGGATTATGGAGATGTTTATTGGGGGTTATATAGGGACTACTATAGGGATCCATTCCCCCATGTCCTACGAAGCACTGTGCAGCCAGCATGAGCAACAGGTGCCTTCAGCAGCTCGTTGTGTGCATCCTTTGTCAGTAATGCCCGACGCGTATGTCGATTTCCTTGTTGGGAGGAATGCGCCCGACGTGCAACCCGTCTTGTGCTTCCTCGGTTTTTTTGGTAGTCTCTTTAGGGGCTGTTATTAAACAGCTGAACATGGTACTTTGCTGAGCGTGGCTTTATGCTGTGCTGGCTTGTGAGGTGCCTTCCTACCGGCTCATGAAGCAGATGTATCATGACCGTCGTCATCGTTGTTGCTGCTGTTGTTTCTGTTCTGCTTCTTCATCGGCACTGTCGGCGTTGTCTCTACTCTACGATGATTTTTAGCCGCTTTTATCGGCCTATTCAGCTTCTTCCTCTTGCCGGCTGTTCCTGGTCCCGATTTGCAGTTTGTGTCAGTCTTGGGTTCCAACGCCACCTGTCCCTGTCCCTGTCCCGCGTATGTTCGGCCCTATAGGGTTTCAACTAAGCTCAAATCTCCATCGTGCTTGCGCTAAGTTGGATTTTGGGGGCCTCACGAAGGGTTTTTCCTATAAGGGTTCCTTTAAGGGACCCACAAGGGTACGACGGTACGATGGAGTTTTAAGAGTATAGAAGTCTGAAGTGTTCGTATATAATGATATCCCTCTTTGCCCAATCAGCTATACTACGACGACCCCCATCTAATACAGAGGTCTGAATATTTGCAAAGGCTTTGTCAAAGGTCGGTACGGGGAACCTCTGGCCGCTTTCGCCGGGCTGGAGGCGAACTAGTATTATTCCGTAGCATTCCTCGTTATGAAACTGGTTGTATAACCCAACTCGATCATCATCATGGCCCGAGACCTTTGAGTTTGAGATCCGCAATTCTGTGACCATAGAGAGCTGATAGGGACAAGGTAAAGTAGACTCACATCTGTGGTAATCCGCGTGCTGCGATCCCCCATCCCTTGCTTAGCCTCCAAAGCCTACCCCCCCCCACCTTACATAAAATCTGCACGGACTCTGACTCTGACTCTGACTGACTCTCTCTCTCTCTCTCTACATATATATATATATATGTATCTTTATGAAGTATCTACATTGCATATGTCTATATCTAAGAAAGGTGTGTGTATGTATGTATGTATGTATGTATGTGTACGTGTATGTGTAGATACTCGCATGCGTATACATGTAGATATAGATACAGACATTTACATATATATATATATATATATACAGATATATACATATACACATATATACACACAGACAGTTATATACAGGTAACGTGCCTTCAAGCCAGAATCCCTGAAAACTCCGCGCCCCAGAACTCAGGCACGTCTTCGACACCTTCCATCCCAAGGAAGAGGCCATGCGGCAGGGGGCCCTCGAGCCCACGAACTGCCAAAGAATAGCCCGCCGGCTCTATCAGAGTTTGAAGGGCTTTTTCAGTCTTAGGGAGTATAGAGTTACTGGAGCAGGATATTGCAGTTTTTGAGTCTAGGCAATTGGGGATTTTGTGTGGCTTGTGCCTTCTTGAACAACATGCCCCCAGCAATTTCTGACGACCCGAAAAACCTTAAATCTAGCAGGAAACCCGGCCTAAAAACCCCCAGGTTCGAAGCCCAGCTTAGAATGCTGCCCATCGCTTCTGAATTGTCAGCATGGTTGATGGGCTTCGGGGGCTGAGGGTTTTACGGCTCAAAGGGTTGGGGTTGAGGAGTTTAAGGCCCACCTCCCGGTGAGGTGCTGCGAATGCTCGTAGCGGATAGCGGCACTGGCAATCGCAAGTAGACACAGACAAATCTGCGGCATGCACATAGAATATGCATTTGTATGTACATATATACGCATATACACATGTGTTTATACATGTAGGTATGTATTTATGTATGTATGTATGTCTGAGATGCCAGGACGAACTGCGCCTCCTGCTGCTACGGCTGCTGCTAATGCGACGACGACGACTACCACGACTAATTACTTAGACTACTGCGAGTGTGACTGCGAAAACAACTGCGACAACGACGATGACGACTATACCCACGACTATGAACTCGACTACTACTTACTAGTGCTACTAGTACCAGTGCGCTGGTACAGTCAGCAAGGAGACCAACGCTAACCCCACAAAACAACAGGCAACAGGAACACAGGACATCACATTCGCAATTCAACGCACAATGTGGCATTGCAAAGCATAGCAAATGTCAGGATCATGCTGCATTAAAATCATACTGGCACAATACATCTGACCCAGGTGTTAACATCGCTGCTTCTGGGCACCTCATTGCTGGTGAGCTGTGTCATGAAGAGCATCATGGTCGTTTGGTCCGTGATTGGCAGTACGGCGTCTCGGCTGGACAGTGAGGCTTGCTAATGCGTTATTGATCTGAACACGTAACACCGCCAAATCTCGAATGGCGATTTCTGGTACTGAGGTGAGTTTCCTCATAGCTTTCATCCTGCCGGCGCTCTTTTGGTACAAGGTGAGCAAGGGCCGTCAGCCGTGGTGGCACGTTGTTTGAGGGAGACTTGGGCCGCAGGTGGTGGGCCCAACGGTGCGCCCCTGGCGCCGTGGCGCTGCGCTCGGGCTCATTGCCCTCTGCTGCGTGCTGTCCGCAATCTGCTTCGTCCTGGCCTGCGCCGCGCTGAGCTGTTGGAACTCAGCCAACAATTGAACTGTGGAATCTGGCACTCAGCCATGTATCTGCACACACACTCTCTCTCTCTCTCTCTCTCTCTCTCTCTCGCCGCTCTCTCAAATGTATGTATGTACATATGTATACATATATACATGTATTTATTTATGCTACCATATATATGTATATATACAGGAGTTGTATTTCCTTTGAGGCGTGAACTTGAATGAGCCCCCGTGCCCGATCAAGAACCTTCCTCCTGCCTGCGCCCGAGGGGGTTCTGGCTTGTGTAGCTGAAGGTGGTGTCCTGTCTCCGATGAACAGAAATAGCAAGGTTTAGGGTTTAGGGATGTTTAGGGCAGATATGGCAAGATTTCCTTTTGTGGCATCGGGTTGATGTAGATTCGGACTGCTTTAGTTGGGGTCCCGGTGCTCTTAAGGTTTATCCATGGAAGAGATACTGAAAAGGAAGCTCCAGTTCAACCCTCATTTGCACTTGCCAGTACTCAGGTCCAGTTTGTCCACCACGAACTGGCTTGAGAAGCTTGCTGAGCAGTGAGCAGCTGGCAGAGAAGCAACTGTTTTCCACCTCGGCTGCCACTGTTTCCCCAGAAACTTAGAGCCCGAGAGCACCAAAGACAGCAAAACTTACTGTATGCAAACCCCCGACCCTATGCCCTATCTTAAGCCCCATACCTAAAACACCCCTAAAACCCCGAACCCCAAACCCAAAGAGCGGTAAACTCCCTAAACTCAGATTTTCCCCTAAACCCTTAGGTACAGTGCCTTGAGGGCCTTTTGCTTCGTGGGTTCGACCCAGGGAGCCTTTGGAGATTTCCTCCCGGTCGGACCCTTCGCTGCGGTGCACGGATCTTTTCAATATATCCCCAGGGTGCCCTCGAGTCACTCAGGCCTTGGCGGCTCAGTGCCCAGAACCAGGGACCCCCCGAATGTAATCAGATTTATCTCGGGCAGGCGACCGCTGAGACATAATTTGGGGGCCCTAGGAGACAAAGAGCATGTGCTTTGGCCTGTTTGGGGCTGCACGGAGTGATTCGCGGGCTAAGGAGGACATAGCGGCACCCAAAGCAACAGATCGAGAATGACTGATGCGCTTCAATTGCTTCGGATGCCTGAATTCTGACACGCCATACCTTAGCGACTGGCCAACTTCTTAGGTGCATTTCGCCCATGCCGTTCTGCGTACCGCCTCTGCAGAAGCTGTCAAGAAAGCTGACAGTTGTTTGCTCGAGCAGGGCACTCTGAGAGCGGGGAGTGCGTGATAAAAAGGTATGGTCGCTGTTCAGCGAGCTCCAGAGTCACTGAAACGAGCAGGCGCCCGAAAGCCCCAAACACCCAAAACCCTAAACTCTATAAACCCTAAAACCCTGCACCCAAAACCCTAAACTCCAAATCCCAAAACTCTAAAACCCGAGCCCTAAACCCCATGTGTTTTCCGGGGCTCATGAGTGTTGTGGGCGGGCTCACAGGGAGCTCCGAAGTTGTCGAAGTTTCCCTGGTGCTGAAAAGAAAGAGTATGGGGTATGAGCATGAGCCAGGACCCTCCATGTACACTTAAATAGAGGTATATGACCCGAAATAAGGGGCATTTAGGGTCTAATAGAGGGAGGGTCTAGGAGTACAGTTAACTTAGTCATCTATCACCCGAGTTACTACGTCCCATGATCCTTCAAGCAGGGGCCATCGATACCTTGGGATGAGAATCGGGTAGTCGGCCGCAAGCCCCATAGTATGACACTTGGGGCTCTCACGACTTCTTCGAAGAACCCATAAGCCCCAAAAGCCCGAAGTCCTGAACCCAAAGCCCCAGACCCTAAACCCCAATCGACCCTCATCCCTAAACCCTAAACCCCCTAACCCCACACTTGCTGTTCGTGCCTTCATGGGCCGCTGCCGTTCCCTCAGCTGCGCCTTTCGAACCAGGCCCTTTTGATGATGATTTGGGAGTCTCCGAAAATTAGGGGTACCTTATTTTGGGGGTCCTTATAAAAAAGGACCTACTATTTAGGTTACTATATTAAGGTCGCCTATTTTGGGAAATTCCCATTTCTGTCCGGAGTAGCAGTCTAATGTGTGCAATGAAACGCTGGTCCATCGGGTGTCAGTAAGGCACGAAGATTTGGGTAGTTGAAGCTCTTTGACAAACGATATAGGAAGTTGGGCCAGGGGCCGCACGAATGGAGTCTCCGAGGATTCTGCAAGATCCGTTTCTCCGAGGCTCCTGCAATGGAAAGCTTTCTCGAGCCCACAGCCGACTTAAACCGTGCTGTACGGTGCAGTTCTGCATGCTCTTAGACTGCAGCTAGGATTCGCCAGACTAACGGATACTAAATGAATCTGTCTCTTCGAATGCTGCATGATGTCAGGGCTTGCTTGCTGGGCGGCATCTTCGCCTGGGCTTCCCGAGGAGCCGTGTGGATGTCGAATCGGCTTATATGGTTTCCATTTTGGGTTTCTGGGTGTGCCCTTTAGGCGTTCGGGTCTCTGCCTTTAGGCTACAAGGCTGCATGGATGCACAGCACACCTGCCATGTGGCAGGCCCCGAGAATCTGACCGAGCGCGATAGTCATCAAATACCTCGCGGGCTGCATAAGTTGTGTGCATGCATGTATGGATTTGTGCAGTTAGCGCGTTTTAACATTTCTACACATGAATAAGCACCTATTGTATGGACATGTGCATGCGCGCACACACACACACGCACACAAACACGCATATATATATATATATATGTATGTATGTGTCTATATATCTAAATATATGTGTATATACATATATACATGTATAAATGTATGTGTAATTGTGTGTATGTGTATGCGTGTCTATGTGCATGTGTATATGTATGTGTGTATTTGTGTATATATGTACATACCTACATATATACAGCATGCATACATGCGTACATACATGCATGCATACATACATACATGCATGCACACATATGTACATAGTGTACCGGGTTCAATTGCATGTGACTGAAGATACAACCTGCAATCACGAGCGACCATGTCAAAAACCGTTTCACTGTGTTAAATCAAATAAACAGCAAGAGTAAGACGATGTGTTAAAATTAAACCCCTCAACATGATTGCTTCGAGCGTGAGGGCAATCCACACTAAACGCCCAAGTCCAAAGCCGAAAGCTCCCTTACCCTAAAACGCTCACTCCCCAGACCCTGAGCCCGATGCCTTCAACCCCAAACCATCCCAAATCCTCAACCGTATACACCCTAGGACCTAGAGTAGGCCCTTATTCCCTTTTTTGGGGGTTCAGGTTCCCTGAAAGCCCCTTTAAGCCAAAAAGGGCACCCTTTTTATTCCTAGGCTACTCTTGAGTCTAGCACCCTAAAGCCGCAAGCCCTCAAGTGCCGGCCTCCTCCTAGGTCAGCTTGCGAGGTCACCTCTCAACCCTAAGCCCTGAAAAACCCTCAAACCTTCAGCCCCCAAACCTCCAAAGCCCGAAACAAACATGGGCCCCGAGCCTTAAACCCCAAACCCTCCAAACCCTAAACCCTCCACCTTAACCCCGCAAAGCTCCCTGCTCGGGAGGTCCCCTCTTCTCCCTCCCTCGTCGGATTCACATGGAACGCAGCCCCGAGCCTCGCCGCCTTCCGCGAGGCAAGACAACTCTGCATTCCCAGAGCCTCCAAAGCCCCTGAATTAAGGAATATACCTTAAATTATAATAGGATCCCCAATATGATTTAAGGTATATTCCTTAATTAAGGGGTTTTGGAGGCTCTGGGTTACGGGGGAGGGTTTTCAGAGTGTAGGGTCAGGGTTTCGGGCGTGGGGGGAGTTAGAAGGATTTTGGCTTTAGAATTAGTCTTGGGCTTGGGGATGTAAGTATCATTGTAGCATTCTGTCGCGATTTGTTGGTTTTAGTGTTTTCTGAGACTTAGAAAAGAAAATCAAGTGCAGCTTGGGGCAAAGGCTTGAGGAGAACAGACGCGCTCAGCTGCAAGAGCTTCAGCACATCTTGAGGTGCTTCCTTTCACCCGAATTCGCCCTGAACCCTGAGTTACGATTGATGATATGAATCCTGCATTACCTGAAGGACCCTCAACTATGGGAACTATGGTATATTCGGTATATTCCTTATAATGGGTAATGCAGGATGTATATCATCAACCGTAGTTCCGTGTTGTGGAAGGCTCGCCCTTGGATGCAGAGCCTTCTTGCCTCTCAGCCGCTTCGCCGCCGTGATCCTCACTTCTGTACTATTGGGCTGTTTATGTAGTAGCCCGTATAGTAACCTCCATGACGGCGCCTGGCAACCCTTTCTTGGGCTTATTATAACCCTCTAGCCTGCGTTCTCTGTGAAGTAATGTAGGAACCGGATCCAGAAACCTTGGCCCTTTAACCCCCAAGTAGTAGGGCCCAAGGATCCTTAATCAGGTTCCTATACACTATAAATCATCATCCGCCGTCCTGCAGGTTCTCAGCTACAACCTCCTGGCACCAGCCTTTGTCCGACCTATTGACCTGCGAACTGGGGCAGTGCAGCCTTTCGCAGCCTTCGAGTGGGCTTCAGCAGAGGATCTCGAGTGGGAGCTACGGAGGAAGCGACTGCTGAAACAGCTGGAAGGCTGGCATGCTGATGTGGTTTGCCTACAGGAAGTCCAGTTTGAAGCTTCGCCGGATGGCTCCTTTGCATTGCCAGTGTGGCTGCAGGGGCTTGGGAACTACACCGCGTGTATCCCGGCAGAGAAGTACCTGACACTCATCGCGGAGCGGAATGAACGGGTCCTGGCAAACAAGGTTGCCATTGGCTGTGCAGTTCTCTTCCGGAGCGACCGCTTGATGCAGCCCTCCGACACGGAGAGCTCAGGCAGTGGAGACCCAAACACCCTGGTCTCGGCATGTTTACAGGGCTGCCCGGAGTCACCTTTGGCAGCACTGGGGAAGACGGCCTTCTTCTCCGTCCACTTGGATGCCCAGAGTGAGGAGAAGAGGGTTGATCAGCTTCGGAAGTGCCTGGAAAAAGCACGGGCTCTGGGTACTCGCCAGGTGCTTTTCGCCGGCGACCTAAACACCGAGTGTCGTCCCGGCTCCTGCATTGCAGCCTTCATCTCGGACGAGATGCCCTCTGAGGAGGAGATGGCCCGTGAGTGCGCGTCGGCGTTGCGCATCGCAGGCAGCGAGGACGGCGACGACGAGACCCCAGCTGAGAGTAAGGAGACTCAGACGGCAGGCGAAACCGGGGAGCCCTCTCCAGAGCAACTGGAGCAGTGGCGACTGCTCTGGCAGAAGGCAGCGAAGTCTCCAGCCGAACACCGCATCAACCTATCGCGGGTGCCCACCGGAGCTACACGTTCGGCCTATGACCACGGGAAAACCGAGGGTCCGTGCGTCACCTGGAAACTGGTGCTTCGGACTGCAGTAGGAGCACGCTCTTGCTTTGTTGATACTTCCGCTTGGGCAGGTATAGTTCCACACGAGTGTTAACCTACTGCTGAAGCCCACAAGTCGGACCTGCTACTACTGCCTTGGGCCATGCCGGCCTAAAGTCCTCTGCTAT